AAAGAAAGAAAGAAAGAAAGAAAGAAAGAAAGAAAGAAAGAAAGAAAGGAGAGTTGGGATTAGAAAGCTGGCTCAGCATTTCAGAGGACTCGCTGTTCTTCTAGAGGACCCAGGAGACCTAGTTCATTCCCCCATTCTCAGTTTATAATGACTTACAACTCTGGGTTCAAGGAATCCAAAGCCCTCTTCTGGCTCACAGGCACCTTACACACTGGAGTGCACGCGCACGTGCTCACACACACACACAATATACACATAGAAAAGAAGTAAGAGTCTAACATGACCCAGGAACAGCACTGTAGAAACATCATAGCTCCCTGGAAAGTAAGACACTGCGGAAAACTGTCAAGGGTGTATCGCTGTTGCTGTTTTGATCTGCTGGCTTTAAAATCTAGTTGTTTTTAGCATAAGCTACTTACTTACATACACATGTACATGTAACCACACATATGGTATGTTTTGTGGCTAGGATAATCCAGCTTCTTTTACCTCACATATCATAAATATTTTCTGTGTAATCAGTCTCATAAGCTCACAGGATGAATTTCACAGATAATGGAGGGATTCTGTTTGGAAACAGAGTTTTGTTATAGGTAAGGGCTTAGGGAGAGAAAGCAAGCAGAGGTCCTGTGCAGCACGAACAGTCTCAAGCAAGGGCTGTCACTGAGTGTCTAGCCCTAAGGGCTAATGAAGTTTTGTTAGATTGAGGCATTGGGTGGAGAGAGCTCCCAGTTCTGTTGTCCCACTCACTCACGGGTATGTGTGCACTTCCCCATCCTTGTGTCTGAACTGGAGCTTGGGCACACGTAAGGGAGCTGATTCCTCAAAGCATCCAGGCAACTGTGCACACACCAGTGCCCTTAAACTACCTTTTGGGCATTCTTGTTCTCTGACCAGGATAGAACTGCCAGGGAAACCAAGGGCATTTCTGGCTTCTCGTTTTCCAGCCCTCACCTTTCACCTTTTACCTTTCACATCTCTAGAGTCTGGTCCAAGACCAGGTGGAAGGTTTACACAACTGGCCATACTCCCAATGTGTGAACCCCACTTAGAGTCAGAACTGTGCACAGCACAGAGAACTCGGGGTTCATACACAGCCTTTTAGGAGTTACCCCAGTATTCTCCAGTTCCCTGAGGCCTACTTTCTTCACACTTTGGCCAGAAAGCTTTTATCTTCTGCTGTGTCTTCCTTCCCGTGACTCTGTCTATATCAGGCATCGGGCAGAACCCAGAACTGCTCCTGGAATTCAGAGTTTGGGGTTTTGACCAGCCATTCCTATATCACCATTCTGCTGCTAACTCCACAACTGCCTTAGTATTGTCGCCATGCCTCAGGACAGGGACATCCCAACACACACACACACACACACACACACACAAACACCTGTAACATGAGGGCCGGCTTGTTGGGGTTTCTGTCCCGCCCAGTACCCCACAACCAGCAAGTCCCAAAGAAAACCACACAGAGTCTACATTAGGTTATAAATTGATTGGCCCATTAGCTCAGTCTTCTTATTAGCTCTTGTAGCTTATATTAACACATTGTTCTTATCTATGCTAGCCACACAGCTCGGTACCTTTCACAGCTGGGCAGGTTACATCTTGCTTTTTGGTGGTCTGGGCAGGAATGGACCACAGATGGAGCTTCCTGCTTCCCAGAATACTCCTGTTCTCATTGCCCCGCCTCTACTTCCTGTCTGGTTGACCCACCTATACTTCCTGCCTGGCCAATCAGCATTTATTTAAAACATGATTGACAGAATACAGACAATTCTCCTGTACCACACACCCGTCTTCCAACCTCAGGGAGACTGGGATCTCTCTTTGTCTGTCCCTCTGGTTTCAGTGCTGGGAGGAGAGTGAGGATAGACGCCCGCTGGTTTGGTGGGTCCTTGATTCTGGGTTCTTTCCAGGACCTTCTGGACATTTCCTCATTAAGGCCTCAGATGGCTGCTGCTGGGTTCCTCTCAGAGCCTGGCTGAATACAGCTCGAACACATCTTCCCTAGAGTGATGGCTTTGGCTGGAGGCTGAGTTTCAGGTAGCTTTCACCAGCCCTAGGACCAGGCAGAAGAAAAGATACTGGGAGTTAAATAACTTCCCAAATCATGGAGGCAATAAATGTGAAGGGGAAAATATGAAATCCAGGCTGGCAAATTGTCTTCTTTCGAAGTTGTCATTGTCACTTTTTTCAAATAACTCCTCACACTCTGCTCCCTTTTCTTTCTATCAACCACAGTAGAAAGAAAACTGCTGTTTAAGTCACTTCCGTTTCTAACTTTTGTAGGCACTAAGGTTCCTAACAGTTACCAAATCTGACTAATTTAATTCCAGCCAGTATTTATTATGTGTTAACCTCATGCTGTGTAGCATTCAAAGTTAATGCAGGGACAGAGTGCCTGTCCTCAGGATGCTTCTCAGGGAGACATGCAAGTGTGAACAGTCAGCATAGAGATGGCAAAGGAGATAATAAAGGACCGTGGATGCGCAGGGAACCAGGAGACTTAGTTCTCCCTGTAAAATGAGAAGGGATATCAACGAAAGCATTGCACATGACAGGATGCCGTACCAGTGTTCCTGGTGATAAGGTCCCTGTTGTAGAATCAGAGGCAGGAAGATTTTTTATCTGTTTCTGTTTGTTCCTTTCTACAGTTTTCTGTTTTGTTTTATTTCACAGTAAATAAATTTCATGCACTATACATGTTCACAAATGGCATATAAATAACTAAGACTTATGGAATCCAAAATGACCTTCTGTGGACTAAAGAAATGGAACATTTAGAATTCTTTGCTTTTCTCTTTTGAATAGAAAAGAAACATTTGTTTGCATAGGAATTCATGAAGGTGACCCAACCTGGAAAAGGGCTTATTCACTCTGGCCTTGGGGTTCTTGTGACAAGTTAGTTCCTTCAAGGATTGCGTTCAACCCAGAGGAGTGGATTAAACGCACAAGAAGTATCTATAACTGGACAGAGGAATATGGAAGGTATGAGCAGCAGGTGTGGTTTTTGACATATAGCAGTTTTGTATGTCTGAAAACAAAAAAAGGCTACATTTGAAGGTATCTTTTTGTTTTTGGGTTTTTGAGACAAGTTCTTACTCTGGAGGCTGGCCTCAAATTCAGGGTCCTCCTGCCTCAGCCCCCCAGTGCTGGGGTCACAGGCCTGTCCTACCATACTTGGCTCTTGAGATGCCTTTTAATTTTTTGTTTAGTTTTTTATTAATATCATTTTCCACCCACAAAAGATCATAAACAATCAACAGAAAGAGATGGTTTCTTTCTTCTCCTGCCTAGGGAATCAGAGGGAAGGAAGGCTGTGGGTGAGTGGGGTCCCTAAGAGTTTGGTGCAGGGCACCTTCTGCTTTTAGGCCATTACACTGCATGGTCCAGTATCCTATGTTTTATTATGCTGGGAGCTGCAGTAAGGCGGAGGAGGCACCCTGTTGCTGGACGATTTCCGCATATGTGGAGTTGCAGTACTCCTTCTGCAGGAGTGCAGACACGGTCTAGCCCTCGGGGACACAGCACTTTCCGAGCCTGTGGTTAGAGTGGAGTGCTCAGTCCCCATCACAAAAGTAAGAAGACAAGCAGTCACTTTTGTAAGGAAGACTGAATTTGTTATACTGAGCTTGTTGTACTGCTCAGGGCATTGTTCATCTCTTCCTGAGCATCTCTACAAGAAGTTTACCCCCACCTATGGGAAATAAGTCCTTCAAGACAAATTGCCCCATTATCTGCTTTTTCTTTTTTAAATCTTGCGTTATTGAGCTAGAGAAATGGGTTATTGGTTAACAGTGTATCCCGCTCTTGCAGAAGACTCAGTTTTAGTTCCCGGCACCCACATATGGTGGCTCCATAACCTGTGACTCTAGCTCCAGGGTTCAACGCCCGCTTCTGACCCCCACAGCCACCTGCGCGCATGTGCATACCACCACCCACACACATGCAGTTAAATAAAAATATCTTTAGATTAATAGATTATTTAACATCAGATAGCCTATTGTTTAATTCAAGCACAAAAGAAAAGATCATATTAGCAAGTGCTATGAAAATTTTTTGAGACACAATGAGCCAACAGCACGTTGTTGTTCATAAGAAATGTTGGCAAATAGCAGTTTGCTGGATATGGTGGTGCTTGCCTCAGATCCTGTACTCAGGAGACTGAGTCAGAAGGGTTGTGAGTTCAAGACCATCCTGATGTGCATGGTGAAAATTATACTTTCTTCAGATAGCTGATGAAGAATACATATCGTTCTTTAGCTCCATTATATTTAAACGGGTACATAATAAAAATTCTTAATTATAAATTTCTTATCTTAATTTTTATTATAATTTTTAAATATAAAATTCTGGCTAACTGTTGTGTGGTCAGAATTCTTCAAGCAGCCCAGCAGGGTTTAGTGAAGCTTCTCTTCACACTTGCTCTTGGCTGGGTCCTCACTTTGTCACCCCGTATCTCAGGAACAGCTGCCCAATGCCCACAGCCTCTTCCCCCTTCCTCTGCTCCCCTGAGGCACGATTAAGAATTAGTAGGCACACCTACTAAAATGCAGTACCTTTTGGTGTGATCACTATCAATACATCAGAAACCAGCCTGTTTCAGTGGCCTTATAAGATTATAAAGCAGACATTATGTGTTTGTAATGTAACTAATGGAAGGATGCTGTCTTTCTTATAACTACAGATTTGATCCATCTTCATGGGAATCCGTGGCCAATGAGGAGATGTGGCAAGCAAGGTGACTGATCTACATTTTAGTAGTTGTTGGCTGTTTGGGTTTTTTTTTTAAAGATTTATTTATTATGTATACAGCCTGCATGTGTGCCTACATACCAGAAGAGGGCACTGTATCTCATTACAGATGGTTGTGAACTACCATGTGGTTGCTGGGAACTGAACTCAGGACCTCTGGAAGAGCAGTCAATGTTCTTAACCTCTGAGCCATCTCTCCAGCCCCTGTCAGATGTTTTTAATATAGCAAAGAAATAGCCCATGGCACTTTTCATTCTGGGAGCATAGACAAGTGGAAATAAAAATAACTTATGGGCAACTGTTTTGTTCAAGGCATTGTATTGTTATATATTGTATATAATCTCATCTCATAACCCATGAAGCTCTGTAACCTCCAGTTTTTAAAAGAATGAGGTAGATGGATTTCCCTGGGGCACTGAATGACAGTGATGGGATCCAAAGCTCAGTATAGCCTTCGGCACCCCTCTCTCCAATACTTGTGCTCCAGCTAAGCCAGTGGAAGGGGGAGAGACTGGGTGGGTCTGAGTGGTCAAGCCATGTCTCTGTTTGTGCCATGCCAGTTGATGAAAGCATCAGTTAACACTTAGCAGAGGCCAGGCCCTGTGCTTGGCCAGAGCTACACATGCGTACGACACAGTTCCTGCTCTCAGGGAGTGCAGCCCGTCGGGGAGACTTCGTGAAAAGGTATCAGCCTTACTGTGACAGCTGCTGTCCTTCCTGTTGTTCAGAGAGAGGGCCGCACTGATTCACACGGATCACTTCCTAGTGCTGCTGCTTCCTTTTGTCCCTGGCATTTTTTAATAACCAACAAGGGCCTGTAGGATGACTCACAGGTAAAGGCGCTTGTTGCCAAGCCCAGTGACTGCGGGTTGGAAAGAGAACCGACATCTGTAATTGTCCTCCGATCGCCACATTGGACATACGGCATGCAGGCTTGCACAGACACAGAACACATACATGTAAAACTTAAAGTAAAATAACACTAGTAGACTTTGTCCAAAACATTAGTACAAAAGTCCTAAGCAATACAGAGAGGTGTCCCTCGTGCATATGGAGTTCACCCTTCTGCAAAAATATCTTGATGCCCAGTCTATAATCCAGAGATTATGTTCTGAGAATTGAGTTATGATATGAATCATTTGTGTTTAAAGATTTAATAAGTATTAGATGGGGCTGGAGAGATTACTCAGAGGTTTAGAGCACTGACTGCTCTTCCAGTGGACCCTGAGGTCAATTTCCAGCACCCACATGGCAACTCATCTCTGTTCGTAACTCCAGTTTTAAGGGCCCTGACACCTTCACCCAGACATACATGCAGGCAAAACACCAATACACATAAAATTTAAAAAATAAATTAATTTTAAAAAAGAATTATAAAAAATATAGCTCCTTGGGCCAGCAGGACTCCTCAGCAGGTAAAGCAACGTGAGTTTGATCCTCGCCACCTGTGTGGTAGAAAGAGAAAACTGACTCCCACAAGCTGCCCTTTGACCTCTATATTTATACTGTAGCACGTGTAGCCCTGTGTCCACATACACATAAAGTAAGTTTAAAGCAAATCTAATAAAAATGTTTTTAAAATAAAGAAATACAACTCCAATTTAATCCTTACAAAATAGCTGGACTATAATTTGTGCCAGCATGTTTTTGAAAAAGTTAGAAAATAGCCTAAGGTTTTCAGTCTAGCTCCAGGGTCAATACTCGCATTGGAAACCTGATAAAGACACACTGCACAGTTGTTCCTTGTGACTGAATGTGGGGAAGCTGGGAGACAGTCACATAGAAGAAGAAAGCAGGTCATTATTCAAGCAGGTATTGGTTTAATTGGTATGCTAAACACAATTGGGATGTTTGTGTGCTCGGAGAATCCAGCCACTTTGGAAGAAGTGGTTGCACATGGCGCAAGCTATTGTGATGGCACCTCTAGGGACGCACTGACAAGCCCAGCCATTCCCCATCCCTGGCTCCTCCTCCATAACAGTGATACACATCTGTGGGGAACATTTCCCAACATCTTCAGTGTTGAGAGTGAGCGCTGAGCCTTGGATTGCTGTTGGTTCATGGTTAATTTTCATGCACACAAGAGAATGAAGAATACACAAAAAGGATTTCGTACTGTGGTATTATTCTAACGAGCATTCTTCCTCCCATGCCCTAGGATGAAGACACCGTTCTTCATCTTTAACCTGGCAGAGACCGCCACGGTGCCTCCAGACGTGAAAGCGCAACTCTACACTCATGCATATAAAGTATGTTGCAGTCTTGTTGAAGGGCATCTGCGGGGGCGGGCGGAAGTGACCAGAGTGGAGATAGGGTGTGTAGCAGAAGTTTGATTCTCTGGTGTCCATCTTATCTTGAGCATTATAAAGTAGCACATCTCGGGGAAATATTCAATATTCAATTGTGTCATAAGCAATGTTTAAGGTAAAGGGCCATGGTAATCAGAATAACGGTCCCACCCCCCCACACACTGCCTTTCCACTGCCTTCTGTGGCAGAAGGCAGTCTGTAGCCATGGCTGAGTTAAAGAACTTGAGATTGAGTTTATCCTGGGTTAGCCAGTTGGGCCCAGTATGATCATGGGGACTTTATATAGGGCAGGCCAGAGAGAGGGAGATTCAGGGATGGTGTCCACTGGCCATGGAGATGGAAAAAAGGGCTGTGAACTCTGTAGGTGCACAAGGTTCTGGAAACTGGAAAGGGAAGGAGCAAATTCTGCAGAATGCAGGAGTGCAGCCCTGCCAATGCCTCAGCTTCTTCCCTCGGTGCAGGACAGTGAGTGAACCTGTGTTGTTTCCAGTCAGGGTCTGTGGCTCTGCGTTGGAGCTGGAGGACACTAACATAATGACTTTACTAAGACAAGTTCTGCCCTGTCACCCTCTCTGCTCCGGAAACGACAGGCCATGGCCAGCAGAGGACAGAGAAAAGCCACACAGAGAGTCTGTCTTCTGTCTGGCCTTGGGAAGCTCAACCCCTTCCCAAGACACAGCTCCACTCTCCACAGGAGAGGCGTAGGGGAGAGGCTTGTGTGCACTGGGGTGACGAGACTCTGGTTTCCTATGACTTAGCACTGGTTTCTTCTAACACGACAGACATAGCCAGTTTGCCATGGAGAAACATATCAGACTCTGCATACCTGAGCAGCCAAGTCCATCTGTCTGGACTGCTATGGTTCTATTCAGCCAGCACCTTTGCTTGCTGCTGAGTTAAAGCATCATGTCATCCAATTGGCATGACTTATTTTGCTCCTAAGTTTTGAATATTAACTCACTTTTATTCATTCTCCACTCCCAGCATTTATTGAACACCTGCTCGATATCGTATATTGTGTTAAATACAGTCTATCTGCTATCACAAAGGTCACAGGCTACAGAAAGGATGTTGAGCATGGTCCACTCCACAGTCACGGATCAGTCTCATGTGTGCTGACAGACGTGCTATGAGACCCAGGGAGCTGAGCCCGAGCGCTGGGAAGAGATGTCAGGAGGTGCCATGCTGGAATATCAAGATGAGCTAGCCAAATAGATGGTTGCACTAGAAAGGTTGCCGTGGGAGGAAGGCTGGTCCTTAAGGAGGTAGCCCCGGGACAAAGGCGGAGTCCTCCAGGGCACCCCACTCAAGGACAGCGAGGGAGTTGATTTTGGAAGGCAGCGTGTAGAGTTCTGTCTGGCAGCTAAGAGGGTCAGGGTTTAAACTCACTTCAATATAAATGTCAGCTGTGAGTCACCCGTGTGAAAGCGAAGCAGTGCTAAGAGGAGCTGGAGTACAGATGGGGTTTTCGAGTCTCCAAGGGACAGCCACAGGCTGTGAGGTTCTTGACAAGGATGCTGTCTTACAGTGGGCATTCACTCAGCTACTTTGGAGGAGACGGGAAAAGATGGTGTAATTGGTCCATGTCAACTACAAGATACTGTGAACACAGCCCGATTCAAAAGCACTGTCTGGTCTGTAAGTACTCCTACTGGGGTACTCCTAAGTCACCCAGTGCTACTGTAAAGGTGAAATGTTCCGCTGTGCAAACTAGTCTCCACGCCTGTTTACTCATTAGGTGTTCATGCATTCCCTCTGGGAAATTCATTATCAAGATTCTGCGCTGCTGAGAAGATGGCTCAGCAGGTAAAGGCTAACAAACCTGGGGACCTGAGTTTGATCCCCAGAACCTACATAGTGGAAGGAGAGAAGCAGCTCCCAGTTGTCCTCTGAACTCCACATGTGCACTATGGCACACACACACACACACACACACACACACACACACACACACACACTAGATAGACAGATAGATAGATAGATAGATAGATAGATAGATAGATAGATAGATAGATAAAAATGTTTTGATTCCACTTGCATCCAGTTAATACTATCTCTGCAGTTGGGAAATCAAAATTCTGAGTTTGTGTGGACAGGGTTTTGACTATGAAGATGGAAGTTGTAAGGTAGTGTGGAGATTGTCAGCGTTGCCCTTGTGGGGGATCTCTTGATTCTGTACACTTGATAACAGTAGAATTGTTTGCGCTGGATTGTTGCTAAGACTGCTGTTGTTCCGTGTAGAGAAAAATCCACATTAATAATGTGAAACAGAAGTTTAATTCTGCCAAGTTCTTTTTCTACACTGTCTATTAAAGACAGATTTTTTTCCAGCAGCTAAATTTAGAGGTTTAGCCGCTCGACCTGTTGAGTAAATAGCTTTCCTCCTGTTAGAAGTAAATCCTTTCCCAGAACATCTTTCTGGAGGAAGAGCGCTTTGTCCTGACATGGTGTGTCTTGGGGTCCTGTAGCATCCAAAGCCCCAAAGCAGTTTTAGCTGAAGCACATTTGCCTCCTGCTACTGTCGTAATTACGGAGCATCCTGTATTTTCTGCATGGCCTAGCAATGATTAGATTTCTACTGTAGATTGCTTGGATTTTTTTTCCTTGTGTTATTAATTCCTCTCTGTTTTCTGGTTTTGAAACAAGAAAATCTGTCAGGATAACAATGGAAACCCAACCCTTGCTGTCTTCCAGCTGTATAAGGAGATCGTGTACTCGCAAGAGGAGCACCCGGTGAATTGGCACAAGAACTATGCCATCGCCTGTGAGCGGATGCTGCGCCTTCCAGGGACAGCCACAGACCCTGAAGTCCTGCTGTCTGAAACCATCAGACATTTCCGTCTCTACGCTCAGAAAGCAGAGACTGACCCCCAGCGAGCAGACATCATCGCTGCTCTCAAGCACCTAAGACAAGAACTGCGAAATCTAAGAAATAAAAAGACGGTCTGAGCCAGCGACGGTGGCTGCCCTGCTCCCTAGAAAGATGGTCAGAGCCGGCAGTGGTGGCTGCCCTGCTCATGCTCTGCTTCCAGAGGTGCCAAAGACCAAACGCTTTTCTTTCCAGTAAAGAAAGTGTATCAGAAGAGTAGAAATCTCAGTTATCTTCTGGAACAGCAGAAATATGTTCATGGCTACAATGTATGCCCTATGCAAAAGTGTGTTTATCTCATGTTGCCAAATTAGCATTTCCTTGAGAAGCGTTCAGAAACATCAGCACTAATGAATAGAACATCTAAGGACTGTAGTAGGTTCTAGACAAGAAGGAACTGTCTCCACAGACCTAAGACATTTGACCCTGACTCTTTTGAGTTCCGTGATTATTGGGATTCATTCAAAAAGATAGTCTTAAAATACGCATTCCAGACCACAGGCATTTTCTGGTTGCTGAAAGTGAGATGGTCTCTGAGACCAATTCTGGTTACACCTCGTTGCAATTCCTTTTTCTTCAGTTAACTGTGACTGTTAGTCTGAAACTTTGTACTTTAAACCAAGTATGTGATTTTTTTAAACTTTGAATTTTGTCTTCTTCATTCTGCCCTCACTGAAAAGGAAAGAAGATTTCATGTTTGCTTCTGTCGACTGTAGAAACAGGCAAATTAAAAGGCACTTAACATGCCCTTAATTAATTTCATATTTATGTTTTCCTTCTATTTGGATTCCCAGATCTAGACCCAATAATTAGGAGGTAGCTAGCTGCCCAGATGCACAAAGGGTGTGGGCAAGAGTGGGGGTGGGGAAGTCGCTCAGTAAATTCATTTCTGTTACAGGCATCTTTTATATATCTTGCTAAAGGGAACCTAGTAAGAAATGCAAATAATAATAGTTCTTTATTTTATTATGACAGTTAATTAATAGCAACCTGTTTTAATGAATAAAGTCACTCAGAGTCCTTCAGCACTTCCTAAGAGGAGGCCAGCATCCGTAGGGATTCTTCCCCGATTGTGCGCTCCTAGACTCCAGGCACTATATAGGCCCTGTATAGAAATGCTCACTAATGAAGAGGGAGGGCTAGAAGCTTGTCTGCATTCAAAGATCACTGGTGAGTCATTCAGCAAGAAAAGGCCCCTTACCAGGAATAGTCACAGTTCCGTGGCATTGTACTAGCAAAAGGGGCTGATCAAAGGTCTCCTGTGGAGCTTGCATGGTTCTCTTTCATACTACGACCATAATTAAAACCACTAATTCTCTTTTAAAATGCTGCAGGATGCCATGTAGGCATCTGTCTGGAGTGTCCTTTGTGATGTCATAAGCTGTTAAGGACCAGTGCCGAGGGCTTTTGAGTGAAATGCCAGTCCTGAAGGTGCTTCAAGACAAGGGTGCCTCTAAAAGCTTGACAGGGCCTTGACTGCACAATTCGAGCTGAATTTGCCCCTTGTCAGCTGCCAGTAAATAAATCTCAAAGGGGGAAAAGCTGAAGTTTCATTACCTGATCCATGGGCCTTTGTTGGTTTTGGCATCACACAGGGGAAGCTCTTGCTCCTCCATTCTCTGGATTTGAAGATGTCCATTGGAGCCTGCAGTGCCTGGACAGGGTTCAGAGCGGAACCTTTTGAAGAGTGTCAATAGTTGTAACAGTTCAGCTGTTAGGAAGACAAATACATGGAGGAGCTCATTAATCCGCTTTTGGCTCTCAGTGCCTTTTGCCCTTTTATCACAGCCTTATTAGGCTCCTGCTCATCTTGAACCAGAAGAAACCGAATTGAAGTTGTTGAGTACTAATTGGCAAAGACTTTTAATCATGGGCCAAGAACTTTCACTGACTTGAAAGTAACTTCTCCACAGGGAAGAGCCAGAAACCTGGTTCACCTTAAAACAAAAACCTGCTGGAGCTCAGTGTGGTGTGGAAGTTGAAGGAAGTGTCATTAAATTGTCTAAGTCTGGCCATTCGAAAGAAATTGTGCAAGATTTTGAGTTTCACTTTTCAGGGAAAAGACAACAATAAAAGTCAAACATTTCTTAAGAAAGTCTTTATTGGTTCAGAAAAGATTGCTTGAGCATGTGTGTGACAGAGTTTGTTTCTGAGCATCCAGCCGCAGGTGTGACTGTCCTGAGTCCACATGTGTGTGTAGTGTTTTCAGAACCTCACTAAGAGGAACAGTTTCTACCAGCGGCCTTACAAATGGCAATGAAGGCCTCTGTAGAGCGCCTGCCTTTTAAACGTGAGGCAGCGTGTAGGCATGTCTGCTTCTGAGTGCACTTCGCAGGTGGCCCGTGGGTCATTTGGTGTCTGTGCACAGAGACTTTAGACAAAGCAATAATACGTAGCCTGTGACACATAAAGTCACAACCCTTTACATTTCTTCAAACCATCGGGAAATGAAAAAATAGCAAGTGGAGCTAAGATTTAAGGTTGGTTAACTTGGCTGGCCTGCGTTCCCAGGTCAGCTGCTTCCCAGAGCTCTCTCCTGTGGGAAGCCGACGCTGCTGTCCTTGCTGCTTTTCCTTTCCTTGGCTAGAGCCTAGCGCTGTAAAATTAGATACAGGGCTCCTTTGGGCCAACCCTGACAGAGGAGGGTGTGAAGGCGGTGACTTCTCATGCAGGATTTGGCCAGCGTCCCCCTCACAGTGTCCCTGGAGTGCCGTAGGTTGGCAGATCGACAGGAACCCCACAAAGCCAACTTCTGCCTGGAGTTTAGCCCGAGGAGCAAGTGAGAACCAACAGAACTGTCTGTCTTTCCACACACTGCGGTACCCTGCTGCCTGAGCCCTGAGGTCAGCCCACACCAGAGGGTCCAGGACCAGGGCACTGTGGCTTCCATGTTCGCTAGCAAAGCACCAAGCGTGTCCCACTTGCTTCTGGTGAAAGCATGCACAGTTCCTGGTGTTTTACTTCCTCTTATTTCTTAAAAGGACCTTTAAAAGAGTGTGTGTGTGTGTGTGTGTGTGTGTGTGTGTGTGTGTGTGTGTATTCTGTTACTCAAAATATAGCCACAGTAAAATTTATTACTAATGTATTATTTTGAAAGCTTACAATAGAATTTGTAAATGTAACTTTGTTTGTATTCTCAGAGTTTTTTTAATGATGAAGGCATGTATTTAGCCACTAAGAGATTTAGTTAAAGCCAGTTTGGGGAGGTCAGGTTATTATGCTTGGTTGATAACTCGATGTCATCAGATTAGGATATGAAGAGTAGATTTTTTTAATTTACATATTAAAAGTTAAACATTGTGACTCCTTAATCATACTTCCCATTAATGACCATCACCAGTTAAAACAAGTGCTTTTTAATATTCAGGAAAAAATATCAATTTCGAAGGTTAAAAAATGAATCCTATTACAGAGAACCCTTTTGTTTTATTTCTGATAAAAATTTCACAAATGCACTATCATAGGTGATAAGATTCTGAGCTACTCAGATGCTATGGCTAGGTGAAGAAAATCATTGCAGCCAGACCCCTAAGAGATTGCGACAGACAGACCCCAAAGAGACTGCAAATAGACAGACCCCTAAGAGATTACACAGACAGACCCCTAAGAGATTGCACAGACAGACCCCTAAGAGATGATTGCAGACAGACAGACCCCAAAGAGACTGCAAATAGACAGACCCCTAAGAGATTACACAGACAGACCCCTAAGAGATTGCACAGACAGACCCCTAAGAGATGATTGCAGACAGACAGACACCTAAGAGAAGATTGCAGACAGACACCTAAGAGATTGCAACAGACCCTAAGAGATTGCAGACAGACAGACAGACCCTAAGAGATTGCAGACAGACAGACCCCTAAGAGAGTCACACTATTTTCAGTTATCCCCAAGCTTTATTGTAGACACAAAACCATTCTTAAGCTTATATGCCAAACAAGTGATGTTTCCAAGGATGCTGGGAACATTAAAAGCCAAGATCTTGGCACAGCACTGCAGAGCAAACAAGGGGTGGCGGCTTAGCCGTGCTCATGCTCAATGAAGACGTCATTGTCAGGACTCTGAAGGCCTGTTTGATTTGGATCAGCGTGGATGATATCTCTCAAAGGCCAGGGAGTAGTGCAGTGAGCTCACCTGGGTATAGGAAAGCATGCATACAGTCTGCTCACCTGGGTATAGGAAAGCATGCTGACCTGGGTATATCTTGAAAGGGCTGTTTTGTTTCAGCAGAAAAATAACTTTACCAACACAATATGTGTTAGAAGGATTAGCTCATGCTGTTAAAAAATAAATGCTGGTTGGTGGGAAGGACAGATAGAGGGCCTCAAACCAAGACAGTGAAGCCAACAAGCAATTCACTGAATTTCTCTTTGACAGAATGTGTTATGGGTACAGACTAATTTTCAGTCATGACGATGTTTTGAAGCTGTTTAAAATTGTGAGTTACTGAGATTGCCTCATTTCGAGATAATGGTCAACAGACCAAGGTGTCTATCGGGCCTGCATTCCTCCCCCGTGCTCAGTTTACAGCATCTGACATACCTGACCTTCTGTCCGTGTGCCGTGACATGAGGATATGGTGGACCTTAAATTCAGGTGTAATAAAAATATTATTAAAAAGCCAAGAGCCCATCCTCTCGAAACAGTCATTTAGAATTGCTGTCTGCTGTAGGTCTTTTTAGAGAAGAGACATACAGTAGGTCAAAACGTAATACAGTTCCACTGGCTCCCCACAGCCCCAGCCCTGGAATCAAATCTTTATGTCAGTACATGTTACATATTATAAACTAATAATATACATTATGAATTTTGTCCTTTTTAATCAAAGTCAGCATTCTATTTGGAAGTATTGCCTTTGCTGTGGGACAATGATCTTGTACCCTGTAAAGATTTGTCAGTTGTATTTCTTTAAGAAAATGCTGATTGGCCAGTAGCGAGGCAGGAAATATAGGTGGGGCGACAAGAACAGAAGAATTCTGGGAAGAAGAAAGACTCAGTCTGCATTTGTTACCCAGACACAGAAGAAGCAAGATGAGAATGCCTTGCTGATAAAAGGTACCACACCATGTGGCTAACAAGGACAAAAATTATGGGTTAAGATGTAAGATACGAGTTAATAAGAAGTCTGAGCTAATAGGCCAACCAGTTTATAATTAATGTAGACTTCTGTATGTTTCTTTGGGACTGAACGGCTGCAGGACTGGGCAGGACAGAAACCTAAGGCAACATGCCTTAAAGGAATTATTTTGTAAGGAAATCTGTTAAAGTGGAAATTTTTGATTTCCTTCGACTAAATGAAATATTCATTCACTTCCATAGCTGAACCGCTGGAAGTCTTCTCAATGCCTGTAGTTGTTGCTCCTTTGTGAGTCTGTGCTAAGGCCTAAAGAGAGCACTGTCTGGGGACCCTGATGAGTTGCCCACTCCCTGGAACTTATATCATGGCACCAGGAAATATCATGGAAGACAAGATGCTTGTGTACCAAGTCTTGAACCTCAAATCTGCAAGAGTGGAAACACTGAAGATTTTGAGGACCCAAATCATCTTACCGTGTCCTCCCCCCAGATCAGCTTTGAAAGTAGAAAGGAAATATTGTGAGATAGTTGTATTAATTGCATTTTTAACATAATTCTCTATTGATCTTTTGGGAATTTCACATCATGCACCCCAATCCCACTCACCTCCCAGTCCTTTTATATCTGTCCCTCACCCTGCAGCATCTCCCCTAAAAAAAATAAGAACAAAACAACCACCGAGTTCC